TGCACCTGGGGGGAACAGGGAAAGAGATATATTGTTAGATCAGAGAACACACAAACATATTGTTAGATCAGAGAACACACAAACATATTGTTAGATCAGAGATCACACAAACATATTGTTAGATCAGACAACACACAAACATATTGTTAGATCAGAGAACACACAAACATATTGTTAGATCAGGCAAACATATACAGAGGAACACGGCTAGAGCAGAACATTTTGTTCCAGAAGAAGAGTCGTGCTGTAAGAAGAGAGTTCCCGCTATAGGAATGCAAAGAGGGGAAATTACCGAAAAACTTCTAAAAATCCACATGTATACATCCCTTCCATATATCAATAAAATTTGCACTTTTGATTAGTCTTCCTTTTCTTTTCAACTTCGTTGATTATCTCAGCTTTTAATTTGAGTGAGAATCATTTCCTTTTGTCATTGTTGGAAGCCATCTTTTCCTTGGTTTCGTTGCTTATGCTGTCTATCGCACCGAAAGAGCAACTGTAGAACTGGTGAGGTGGATGTGTGTGTAGGCCTATGAGCATCAACGATAGCAATTCAATGAATCAGGAATCACACACTACACGTTCTCCTCTTCTTTTACTTTTTGGCCTAGGGCTAAGGCCTAAACGCTCTCATACTGAGCCTCAAAGCTACGGCACATCACTTTTGGAGTGGCTCACATAACGCGTCTGTCCACACCACCTCTCTCTGCCGCCTGCCCCACCCCACTCATCACTGGACAGGCCAACCACAACGCCGCACCGCCGACTGCCAGTTTGAAGACCGCCTACTGCCTCCCAAACCCCCTACCCTCTAGCTAGAGCTCGCTCCGTCTCTCCCACTGTATCCGAGTTCAGGCCTTTTCTAGCCCCATTAAACCTGAGTGCAGGTCATTGAGTTTACACAGGTCATTGAGTTTACACAGGTCATTGAGTTTACACAGGTCATTGAGTTTTTTTTGGATTTTGTAAAGTGTTTTACGGCGCTCGCAACTGCATAGGTCATATGAGCGCGCGGGACACACCTAATATTTTCAGTTGGTAGGAACAATTTTGAATTTTGCCCGGGTGGCGGCCGAAGCCTACTCTTATCGATTTTAGACCACCAAGGGATCTTTAACGTGCGCAACTTGCACACGGACCCTCCGAGATTTTTCGCCCTTGTCCGAGAAGGCTAGGTGTAGATCTTTCCTACCAGAAGATCAGGGGTGTGGCAGAAAGACAGCAGTAAGGAGGAGCCAAGGAGTAGCAGTAGAAAGGCTGCAGAAAGAGTCAGGAGCCCAGAGGAGGGGGCAAAGGAGGGGGTGGGGACAAAAAGTGGAAATGAAAGCAGACAACAGAACATTGCTAGAGAGCAGGAAAGGAGGTGAAAGGAGACAATTTTAGAGAAGAAAATTATTTGGTCGCTACCCGGATTCGAACCCGCGACCTTTGAATGAGAGGCCAACACCTTAACCTCTAGGCCACGAGAGCCCCGGTCATTGAGTTTACATAGGTCATTGAGTTTACATAAGGTCATTGAGTGTACACAGGTCATTGAGTTTACATAGGTCATTGAGTGTACATAAGGTCATTGAGTTTACATAGGTCATTGAGTTTACATAGAGAGAAAAAAAGGGGTGCTTTTGAAAAGTTTAAAAATGTATTCTTGAAGTGAAGCACATTTTCTCTTCCCTGCTGTTTTACCATTGAATTCCATGAATATATTGATGTCAACTGAATGCCTCATGATATTGATGTCAACTGAATGCCTCATGATATTGATGTCAACTGAATGCCTCATGATATTGATGTCAACTGAATGCCTCATGATATTGATGTCATGACCATGAAGGCAGGGGCCTTCAAATGAAAGTATTTCCAAGCATATCAGAGAAATGTGAAATGTCCAGTAAACTGCCTACAACTATATCAGAGAAATGTGAAATGTCCACTAAACTGCCTACAACAACTATATCAGAGAAATGTGAAATGTCCAGTAAACTGCCTACAACAACTATATCAGAGAAATGTGAAATGTCCAGTAAACTGCCTACAACAAGTATATCAGAGAAATGTGAAATGTCCAGTAAACTGCCTACAACAAGTATATCAGAGAAATGTGAAATGTCCAGTAAACTGCCTACAACAAGTATATCAGAGAAATGTGAAATGTTCAGTAAACTGCCTACAACAAGTATATCAGAGAAATGTGAAATGTCCAGTAAACTGCCTACAACAAGTATGTCAGAGAAATGTGAAATGTTCAGTAAACTGACTACAACAACTAGGTTCTCAAGCTTCCTCACTTTGATCTGCTCCGTCGCTGCAATGCCCACTTTGATTAGCAACATCCTGATTGGTTCTCGCTGGTCGCCCTGTAGCTGGATCACCTCTCCGTACTCGGGATGCTCCACCACCGTACCGTTGCAGTTGAACTCCTGAAAAACAAATCACAACACCATTCCGTCATCACTCAGCATTAGCTGTCACCACAATGACAAAATCAACAAAAAACCCAAAACAAACAACCCCCAACAACAACAAAAGGCTTCTCATGCCATGACAATCTACAGAGTTGATGAGTCTCCCTAGCTTCAACATTTCCCACTCAATGACTCTACAGACAACATTTCCCACTCAATGACTCTTTACAGAAGCCGTACATCATTTGTAGTGCACATACTGTTCAGATAGCCAAACTTCGCATCATTTCGAAGCCCAAATCCCCCCCGCCATAGACAGAATCTACGAAGCAACACCGGTGACGGGAGATCACATCTACTCAACTTTTCCCCTTTTATCTTCCCAACCTCCCAGCTGTTGCTGGTTCCACAACAACAATAACAACATCTTCCCAACCAGCCACAGAAAAGTCAGTGCATCTTTAGGTCAAAACAGATATCATTCGATCATTAATTCATGATTTTACTCTGAAAACCCAAGATCAAACAGCAAGTAGCAGAAACTAGGACATAGTCCCAACTGTTCAGGCCACAGTGCTGTGCCGAGGAGTCCACTGATCAGCGTGAGGACAGCTGTACTTTTGTGTTCTGGGTGGGGACAAACCAACCACTTGTCATGGTGGCTCATAGTTCGGGCCTCTTGGAGAACATCCTCTCCTCTGACAAAACCTTGTATCACCCGGCCCCAAGGGGAACATCCTCTCCTCTGACAAAACCTTGTATCACCCGGCCCCAAGGGGAACATCCTCTCCTCTGACAAAACCTTGTATCACCCGGCCCCAAGGGGAACATCCTCTCCTCTGACAAAACCTTGTATCACCCGGCCCCAAGGGGAACATCCTCTCCTCTGACAAAACCTTGTATCACCCGGCCCCAAGGGGAACATCCTCTCCTCTGACAAAACCTTGTATCACCCGGCCCCAAGGGGAACATCCTCTCCTCTGACAAAACCTTGTATCACCCGGCCCCAAGGGGAACATCCTCTCCTCTGACAAAACCTCTGTCCATAACTTTAAACACTACCACTTTGACAGCTACATGAGGTAAACAAATCCAAACTGTAAATACCACCCACCATTACAACGTACCTTCTTAGCTGCTTTGACAATTTTTTTGAAGTCGTACTTGGGGTCGACACCTTGGACGGTGGTCAGTGTTTTCCGACCATTTCTCTGCTGGATACGGATGTGAATCAAGGCAGTCTGGATGCCGGACCCCCCAATACCATCACTGGTATCAGCGAAAGGATCTGTCAACAGAAAACAGACAAAATAAGCATTTACAACATGCAGTTTTCACAAAAATTGTGCGTTACTCGTGAAAGCTAAGGGTTTTCCAGCTCATGGTAACTGACAGTCAACAGAAACAGCCAGCCTCTTAGAACGACAACTTTACAGGGCGTTTGACAGAAATGATGGGGCCTGTCCACTGAATGGTCTACCACCATGTTTCTGTTCCCCTTGACAGTCTACCACTATGTTTCTGTTCCACTTGACGGTCTACCATGTTTCTGTTACTACTTGACAGTCTAGTCTACCACTATGTTTCTGTTCCACTTGACGGTCTACCACTCTACTTGACAGTCTACCACTCTACTTGACGGTCTACCACTCTACTTGACGGTCTACCACTCTACTTGACGGTCTACCACTCTACTTGACAGCCCACCAGGACTACCACCATGTTTCTTTGACAACTGTTCCACTAAATGATCTAGCAGTCTTCCACAATCCTCAACCCTAACCACTGGACACAGCACAGAGAGACCCTGGTCAATCAGACAGGACATAGAGTAGAACACTTGTGGACAGCCACTGAACTGACATTTCAAAGGGCCTATGATCAGCATTTCACCATTCAAAAATAATGAAATACTATTTTTTCAATTGGTGTGCAATTAGTTTTCTCATGGTGTAATAATATAGTTCAAATTAAAACTATGAAATATTTAAAATTTCCAAAAAAGTATTGGGCCTCTAAGCTAATACGGCGGATTTCATGGTAATGGTGTGAGAGACAACGCAGGGTTTTTTTTTGTTTTTTTTAATTCTCCTGTTGTACTGTTTTGTGTTCAATTTGTGTTTGTTTTGATTGTTTCTGGGTCTAATAAACACGTGAATAAACAAACAAATGTTGACTTTGTAAACTTTGTTTATTTCGTTTGATCTGGTCGCCCTGTAGCTGGATCAC